CCATTTTCCTTCCGGGAGAAGCTGGACCTGGGGATGGGTGCTGGTCCTGGGAACGGGTGCTGAACCAGTGGAGGTGAGCCCGACTTTGGGCAGAGCCCCTTACTTCACCCACAGTGGGACCGGGGCGCCCGCCCCACAGGAACCCCTTGGCAGAGTCCACCACCCTCATGAGCCCTCTGAACGTGAGCTGCACCTCCGAGCCACCAAACCAGGCTCGTTCACCCCCTGGACCACCCCAGACACCGAGGATGTGCTGCCACGGGGGTCTTCATGGAGGTCAGCCCCCAGCAGCACCAGCGCAGCCTGAGCAGGAGGTCCCCATCCCTCCCTGCAGACATGGTCATGGTGGCCCTGGTGCAGGTGATGTTGAGATGAGCTCTCCATGGCCGTATCCCCAAGGACAGAGGCTGAGGTTCTTGCGAGCTCTGGAAACTCTCAGCCCCTTGGAGGAGCCATGCTGGATCCAACACACCAGCAAACAGGGAAGTAATTCCAGCTCAGGGCCCCACCGACAAGCTCTGAGAGGGAGCACTGAGAGCAACTTGTGTGATATTTGAGATGCCCGAGACTGGGAACGGAGACCACAGCATCAAATGACTTTGGACGCTGTTAATGAAGTCACAAAGCCGATCCCTGATAACGAACCCACCTGGCAGTGCGGGTTGGCACATAGCTTATGGAATAACCCACGGGTAGGTCTTGTTTATAAGCCTTGAGATAAACTGAGTGCCAGAAGGGACGGCCAGGAGCCGAGCCCTGCGAGCACCACACCGGGCAGCAGAGAGCTTTGAACATCTCCGTGTCCATCCTTATGGTTTTACGAGCAGCAGCGCTTGGGTCGCTCATGAAGGACAAGCCCTTGATAAAGAGCACCCAAAGAATTGCTTGGGCTCTCCCCACTGCTCCAGGCTGGGGGAAACGTCTCCCACAATACTTTTCTTTCATTCAGGTGACACGAAGCCACAGCGGGTCTCCTGCACCCCCTGCATCGTCCAGGAGCTGAGTGCCGGGGTGAGCATCCCCAGCCCTGTGTGCCTTCCCCTCCACCCCATGGGACAAGGAGCAGTCTCCAGTGGGAGGCTGTGGGAAGGGGACATCATGGCGTGAAGCCACCAGAGCCCAGCAAGCCTGAGGACCATCTCTGGCTGGGGGTGCCCAGCGTGAAACAGGGTGGCCGAGCTCTCGGCAAGGGGGACAGGGATGACACATGAGGACCCCACACTCACTCTGTCACGCTGACTTGCAGCGGGGGGATGGCGTAGGAGTAGAGCAGCAGCATGAAGCTGGTCAGGAGGGTCCCCAGGATGAGCCCCTTGCACATGGACCTCCAGTGCTTCCCATGGTGCAGCATC